TGATTTGGATACAGGGATCGGTTCATAATATTTGATTGAGTTTATTGTTTGGAGTCAAGATAATGATAAATGTTTCAGCTAGCAGCAAGATCTGAAAATGAACAGGAGATAAAGAAAATGAAACTGGACAATGAACAAGCAGTGAGCAGTACTGAACAAGCAGTAAGCAGTACCGTGGAACCTGCTCATTAGGATAGTTTCTGATAGAGAACAGAAATCTTTCAACTCTTTCCTTGTCTTTACCTCATCACAGCTGCTCATTTTTCTTTCCACCGTCGTGGTATCTGTATAGTATTTCTTGTTTACTAAGTATCGGTCATGCCATAGGACGCTCTCGTAGTAGAAATATTGTTCAAGTTGCTCTTGCTATATTCTCTAACTGTGATTCTCTGTAAAATATGGTGATTTCGTTTATCACGTCGTATAACTACTTGTCGAGTTCTAATTTAAACTGTGTCTATTAAAAACTTCCGCCCAAATTCTTGATTATGCTAATTTTTTCTTCGATCATGAGTAAACTATTAATCGGGTGTTTGCAAACTTGGGTCGCGCTGAACTCCTACTCGGGGAGGGGGGGTCCTATTCGGCTAATTTGGGTGGGGTTTAGAGACAAAATTGAGGTTTGGAGCTTAAAGGCAGCGTCCAGGCAAGTCTGGACCTATGGGGATTTTACATGGAAAGTACTTTTGGGGCCCTAACTAACCCACTATCCAACCGGCAGCTCAGATAGTGCTGTAACGCCTGAGATATTCTGCTCGAAACTGGACCCCGCGACCGTGTTTCGCATGGATTCATGGCGCAAAGCGTGGATCCTGGCGCGAAACTGCCATGAATCCATGCGAATACGTTCGCGGGGGTCTGTTTCGAGGGGAATATCTCCGCCATTAGAGCACTACCTGAGCTGCTGCTTCGGCAGTGCTGCCTTAGTTAGGGCCCCAAAAGTACTTTCCATGTAAAAGCCCCATAGGTCCAGATCTGCCTGGAAGCTGCCTTTAATTAGGGCTAATTACAGTATGCCGCGGCAGACTTGCGGAGCAGAAAATGGGGGGTCTCCGGAGCAGAAAATGGGGGGTCTCCGGAGCAGAAAATGGGGGGTCTCCGGAGCAGAAAATGGGAGGGCTCCGCCGGACAAATGGGAGACCCACCGCTGGGGAAACGCCGCGACCCTGCCATTTCTCCGGCGGAGGGGTCCTATCCGTTGCCTGAGAAGAAGGGACCGCCCAATCGCCCCGCTCTCATTGGTCAACTGGGTCCGGCGCGACTCTGGCAGATTTCGACTGTCCGGCGGAGGGGTCCGGTCGATATTCTGAGTAATTACCGGCTGTTTTTCTTTACTACCCACTTCTCTTACGAAAAGAACGCGCAAAGTGGGATTCAATATTCAGTGGTAAATGATCACCAACTAACGCCTTTACTAGCCTCTGGTCTCTGACGAACAGAGTGCGCAAGAGGTTTTCGATTAATTAGTGGTATATGATCCTGCCACGCGGGACTTTACCAGCTTCCTAAGTAGCAAACGCCAGAAAGTGATCCGTAGGCCGAATGCACTAATTTGGTATATACCAAGCTGGTACCACTACGTTGTATAACTGTTTATTGGATAGTAGCGGAGCAGCCGCTGACTATCAACAGTGAATTTGCGGAACAGCCGCTGACGATAGTGGTAATATTCGAACCAACACCAGAACTGAGTATTCAGGCCCTTTTATGCCATTATTTTGGGCGTGAATAACCTGAATGCTCACTTCTGGTAAACAATAAAATCATACAGCATGAAGGATTGCCTACATAAAAGTAGGCGCCGCCAAGTAGACTATCAAGCACAGCGGAGGGGTGACCTGGCGGCTTAAGTGGTCAGTGAACAATAAGGTTTGTCAACGACAAGCTAACAGATATACTAAATATAACATACACGGTAGATCTACAATGCTAAAGGTTGTAGATTATTTGGATAATCTACGACATATTTCAACACAGCATATGCGTCAGCAAGTGCACCCTACATGTCGTGGTTCTCTCTTCGCACTGGGACTTCTTTGCATCCTCTTCTCCTCACCATTCCACCGCCGCTTCACTCAATAAGGAATCATCTTGCGACTGGCGTCAATTGAAAACAACGGAAATGCCATACACAGGGGCGGAGCAATCTAGCCGCCGCGTTTTTTAGCGTCAAGTTTATATCGCCGCCTCCCCAGAGTACGCTGGGCGGAGCATTTGCAGACAACTGCAAGGTATTGTTCTTTGTGACCTCTCACTACCAACTCTGCCACGTATGACAACAGCATATATAGATACGTGGAAGTTTAGAAAGTACAAAAAGCCATACTTTGCCAGTAGAGGTTTGGCAAGTCACACCGCGTTCAAATTTCTGCAATTGCTCCTCTCAACGTACACTGAGGAGACGACGATACCTCACCAGAGGGTTTTTGAGAAAGCGAAAATGTTCTTTTGCAAGTGAAGCTGTGCTGTCCCACTTAAGTCGTATACTACAAACCAATAGAAGTAATTGCGTAGAGTTTCAGCTTTTTACAAGCTTTAATTCTTGAGAAATATTGATTTTCGCGTGAGAAAGTCGACTAAGGGGATCGATAATTTTCGAGAACCAAAGCTTGTAAAAACTGAAAGTTTGCGTATGTACTTCTACAAGTTTGTATTATGCGACTCTTTGTGTTGAAACAGCACAGCATCGCTTTGGCAAAGGCATGAAAACTCCCGCTTTCATAAATTCTAGGTGAGCAATAAACCTTGTAATGAAGTGTTTAGAGAGAGGCTGAATTTAGATTTACAGTAGGGAGCGAATCATCTATCGTTCTTCATCACTATAGGATTACGGAAAGGACTTCCAGCATATGGAGCCATTGTTATACCATCTAACAAAATTTCTTTCAAAAACTGAAAAATCGTATACTAAAGCTTTCGTGCATGCTGATTTCACCTAATTACTTTTTACGAGTGTTTTCAGCTTTTTGAGGGGTGTAATCACATTTCTGACAAATGTTAGGAATTGCGTTATTGCGATTTACCGGGGAACTTAGGAAAGAAGCATCACTGTAAAATGGGAATGTCAAATTCGAAATCAGCGGCTTCTATTACAATAGTATAAAAGTTTTTGACTTGTTTGGTCTTGTTCCGAGGCAGAATATAGTCTCCAATGGCCTAAAATCCTTGCCGAAGTTCGTGCCTTAACCCTACAGTAATGAAGAGCGATCGATGATTCGCTCCATACTGTAAATCTAAGTTTAACTTGCTCTACAAAATGGTACCTAAAGCTTCTCGTAACACTTCATTAAAAGAAAGTTATTTACAATTGAACAGTAGGTACATTTTTGGGACACCTTGTGTACATAAATGTCTGATGTGCAAAGTGTATGCATGAGTAAGTTAAGATCTTTTTTAGGAATTTTTTGGATGGGGTTACGATCTTTTTTTTATTTTTCGGGCAGTTGAAACTTTTCGTTTCTGACTTCAATCTCGACTTGGATCAAAGCTATTGTAAAGCCAATAACGTCTCTATCGAATTGTACCTTGAAACCTATTTGTAAATTGGAAGTTTGTGACTTATTGCGGTTGAAAGTCAGAACGGACGGAACTTGTGGGACAACCTGGTAAATCGAACGAGTTTGGAAAGCAGTGAAGGTATTCTCAACATTTACCTGCGCTACAGCACAGTTATTTCGTTCTATACTACTACTAAATCAGTAATTCTGTTCTGGCTTCGTACAATAAAACCAATCAGAGGTGGAGCAATGGGAGGTTTCTGACCTCGAAAATGCTTCAATCCTCCTGTGTGCGATTAATGATGCAATAATGGTGCGAGGAAAGAAGGAAGAACATAGAAGGACCTTTCCATAGAGTTAGGAACTCCTGCGCGCCATCCAAAATCGGTGGTTAAATTTGCCAATATCTCCACTATTTTTCCTTTATTTCTAGTCAGGGAGAACTTTGAGTAGTGTTTAACTAAATGTCTGGTGTAAGCTAAGTAGCTAAGTATGCTTGATTAGGGGCGATCTGTAAAGTTTTTTAAGAGGTACGATTCTTGGCGTATAAGTTCGCTTTCAACTACCATCGGTTTCCAGTTTCGAATATGAGGAAGACCATTTATGCGGTCGCTTGTTAGCCATCTTGTAGATTTTGCTATTCTTGTCGTTAGCCCAAGCCGCATGAATAAGGGAAGTGGTTGTAAAATTATGGCTTGTAATAAACCTCCGTTGTGTCAACTTAACTGAGGCGGCCCAATTTAACTACAGCGCCAAGGGAGCGATCAATCTGGAGCAAAATACTTTATGGACGTTCTCACAGCTAAGGAAAGAACATTTTTTGTCATTTGCGCAGATTTGGTAAAGTGGATAAAACTGATGCTTTTCAATCGGCAGAGCCGTGGTTCGAGCGGCTAATGACGCGATTTTTATTAGCCGAGCAATCATAGCGGCCGTTATCGAAAAATCGATGATGACCAACTATTAGAGATTCAACTAGCAAACAACACGACAAAACAAATTCAAAAAATTTTGACATTCTGCGGAGAAAAATCGACTGGCGAAAAATGAATGGAAAGATAAACTCACATTCTTTCCATTTGTAGCGGCTTTTTTTTGAAAAAAAAAACAAGCACCACCTAAGAAAAATGCAGAGAAAAACCTTTCTTTTTCATTTTCTTGCCGCAGTCAGCTGCTCATCTATCCTCTCCCATTCAACCCGATTTTGCGTGCACCGCAAAAAAAGCTCAACTGCGGTGTCTTTTAAGTTTCTCACGAGCAACTTACCGTAGTTTCTCTAATTCTTACCTAAGCACACTCTCTACAGCAGTTGATCTCCCGATCCATCTCCAAATTACGGCAGCACGGCAAAGTCGCCGCGACAGTTGACCGGCCGTTGGTGAAACTGAGAAAAACAAACTAATATTAGACCCTACTTACAAGCTATACGTGGAGCTATTTCGTCCAATTAATTGCCACTTATTGCGTGATTTATTGAAGTTTCAACGTTATCTCATAATTTAGGAGCTGCTGACGATGCCATAGTAAGCTTCTGTTCGGATCTCTTCAAGAACATTACCAACTCACCTGGAGCGCAAGCAAGAATTGCAAATGGATTCTTTTTGAGGTAAGCTATTCTCTATTCACATATATTGAAAATAAAGTAGACCGATTACGAATTAATTTTTAACAGTGGAGTTTGGCGAGCAAGCATAACCGGCTTAGTTCGACGATTTTATATAGTAGTCAACATTTCTTAGCACTACATTGGTAACATGAAATAATAAAAGCAGCCGCAAATTTTCTTACACCTACTATTTTTTAAAAATAAACTTAAGCGGTATCCTGCACATGATTTAGTGTACCTTAGGAAAAAACTTAATTTGAAGTAGAAGTATTACACTTTCTTAGTGAATATTTTAAAAGTAACATGCGCCATATCATTCCTATGATGCATATGATTCCCTCGCTTCCTGCAATCCTTATGTGTTCTAGGATTCCAATTGATGCGTTGCATTAACGGCCGTTGCCATTTGATGTTGCATGAGGCCTCGGACAGAGTTCACGCGATTCGGTCGTCGCGACTGACGCGACAAGACAACTGTAACAATATCATTGCATGGCGATCTTCTTGCAACTCGGTTGTGATAGTTTTCCAACACAACTATTCATGACTAACTATGACAATCGAAATACGAGAAGATCGCATGCAGTGAACTCGTAACACTCGTCTCTAGCGATTAAATCGCGACGATCAAATCGCGTGAACCCTGCCCGAGGCCTGAGGCAATATTTCTCGCTAATCTTGCATGTGAAGTTTTCTTCTACTTCTAAATACTCATGTAGATACTACTCATCGCCACCGCTAAACACTTAAACGCTTAGAAGACTCGAAAAAACTATCTTTGATTAAACAAGCTCGATGTTCTTCTAATCCAAACATCTTGCAGTCCATCATTGGTATAGGTCATCAATAACTTCTAATCGCATGCAAAGCGATTGCGTTTTCCAATCCAGAACGGATGATATGTGGTCGGATGTATCGTGAATTCCTACCTATATTTTTCTCATCGAATTTCGACCTGTATTTTTCTCATCCACTAAAGATTAATCTGGTCTTCAGAGAAAGATAAAGCGATTGATGAGCATGGGTTGAGACAAGAAAAACATTTCTGCGAGATCAGTGCTTCGAATTTTCGCCTAAGGTGCCAGTAAATAACAACGGCCGTCTCCACGCGCCATCGGTGCAGAAATTGCAGAAATCGCAGGGTCTGAGTGCTTATAGATTAGTATAACAAGTCTCTAGGTCCTCACCCCAACTCGCAAGAGCGGGTGCTATTTATTTATTTATTTATTTATTTATTCATACGCTCTACGGCGTTCCTTACAAAAAGAACAAGAGGAAAAAAAATACACACACAGTAAATCAAACAACCCCAGTCAAGGTCCACCGTGCCGTTGGGTCCATACCTTTAAATTGGTTAAGAAGTATGTTTGATAGAGCTTGCATGTGACTGCTCTGGACTACAATTGTCATAAAGATGTGATAATGGAGATGGTACCCATGCCCCCATTACTGCCAGCAAAACGTCCCTGAGATAAACTATCTAACTCAGGATTGCATGGTGGATATACTCCCACCGCATGAGGCTAATAGGAAGAGTCAGTTACTCGAGAATACTTGATTAATAAGAAATGTTGTAATGGAACATTGTAATCGAGAAGATAATAGGTTGTTGCAAGTTGTGGAGGTGGTGATCCTTCATACTCATACGCTAGCAAAGTGCTCTCGAAATACCAAAGTAAGCAAAGCGGGCTTGGTCAGTAGAGTAGCAGAAAAACCTTGCCCAAAAGAATTCCGGGGAGAGACCAATGCTCCGAGAGAAAATCAACAAAATTCCGCGTTAATAACTCAACTAGAGCAAGTCAGCAAGCATTAAAGGTTGGGAAAAGGAAGATTGTTGTTCAGGCCTGCACTAACATGGTGGCTTGATATGGGTTATAAGGCCTTGGCCCTACCCTGCCGGTGTTGTCGACACCGCCAGTGCCACCCACGTCACCGGCGCCGCCGACGTCACCAGTGTCACCCGCGCCACCCACGCCCCCAGCGCCACCGCCTTTGAGCGGTAACACTGGGAACATGAGCAACACGAGCAACACCAGCAACATAGGCAACACCAGCAACATGAGCAACACCACCGGCAACACCGGCAACACGAGCAACACCGGCAACATAGGCAACACCAGCAACATGAGCAACACCACCGGCAACATCGGCAACATGAGCAACACCGGCAACATGGCAACACCGGCAACACGAGAAACAAAGGCAACATCAGCAACATCGGCAACAAGAGAACACAGACAACATGGGCAACACAGGCAAAGCATGGCCAAAGCCCAGGAAATGCAGAAAGAAATAGTATATGTAGAAAGACGAATCTCAGTGGCCGTGTTCGCTCGAATATGGCAAAACAGATGTCGGACTACATCGCACGTATGAGAATGTTGATGTTGATGCTGATACAGTTGATGCCGCATAAGGAAATAGAGTTGCAGCTGCAGTCCAGACGGTAGATGGAGCATAAAATATCAGCCATAATTCATACAGCAGAAAATAGTCACCAGACAAGAAAGCGCTCATGAGCCAGATCTGAAAAAGAAACATTAGAACGAACTCAAAACAGAGAAAAGACAGAGGTTATAAAAAAAAGGCTATATAAAAAAACCACATCGTAGACTTCATAGTTCAGACAGGCTATGGCTATGGCTTCTACCTGAATCAAATACATACAAAAGAAAACGAAAACATCAGCACAAGTACGAATCACTCTCAACAGATTTGGGAATTTCTGACTTTTCTAGAGCTTTCTTGAAAGCCCGACTAGTATTAGCCGACTGCAACTTAGCGGGCAGTCGTCTAAACCAGCGAGCACATCGATAGAATAAAAAATTGAAAAGGCCAGAATAGCAGTGTTTATCCAGTCTAGGGTAGTGAAGATTGAAGCCTCCTACCCTGCAGCTTACTGGTCTGAAGACCCAAAAGCTGCTGGCAGGAAGGTCAATCTCTTTCCGCAGTATCGCAAAACAAAAAAACTAAGTCAGCAATAATTCTTCTACGTTTCAGTGATTGCAAACCAAAGAGTCTCAAGCGCTCATTGTAATCTGGTTTGGACCTATCTTGCATATTATGAGACATGCGAAAAAAGACCATCCGTGTAAAAACATGTTGAACTCTTTCAATCTTAACGATATCTTTCTTTGTGGAGGGGTTCCATACTTGAGAACAATATTCAAGATGTGGTAGCACATAAGCCTTATATAGTCTGGTCAAAACAACTGGATTAGAGGAGTGAATAACACGAAAGATTGAAAAAAGAATAGAATATGCTTTTTTGACAGCAGAATCAATATGTTTGGAAAAATTTAATTGAGGATCAACAAAGACACCTAAGTCTTTGACCAGTGGGCAAGCTACCAAATCTATTCCATTGATTTCATATTTGTCTGGATTAATTTTGCCCAGATGCAAAAATGAGCATTTGTTCGGATTGACAGAAAGGCCGTTAGAAGAAGCCCACGTATTTAGTTTATTTAGGGCTTGTTGCATCGATGTATGCACATCAAGGAAATCATATTCATTGTAAGATGCATACAGTTTGATATCGTCCGCATAGATCTGGACATCAACTCCGTTCAAGTCAATTAGAGCGGGTAGTTCAAAGGTGAAAATCAAAAAGAGAAGCGGAGAAAGCACACCTCCTTGAGGAACTCCACTAGTGCAACGGTACTCATTGGAAAACGACTGTCCAACTTTGATGGTCATATATCGGTCTTGAAGGTAAGAGCGAAACCAGTTCAGAAGATTGCCAGAAATGCCAAACTTCTGGAGTTTCATTATCAAGACATTATGAGGAATCTTGTCAAAGGCCTTTGAAAGATCAACATATATTATATCAACTGATTTTCCAGTGTTAAGAGCTTTTCTCCAGTCAAAAACGCTTTTAACAAGATTAGTAGTAGTAGATCTTTTAGAAACGAAGCCATGTAATTGAGGTGGAATTCCATAACATTTCTTGATCCAAGAAAGCAGCTTTTCCTTATAATTTTTTCCATCACTTTGACTGGACTAGAAGTTAGACTAATAGGACGAAAATCAGACACTTTAACGGCAGTACTAATTTTTGGGATAGGCACAACCACTGATTTTTTCCATATAATTGGCACTTCCCCGAAATACATGGAGAGATTGAACAAGTCCGAAAGGGGTTTGGAAAGTACATCCGCACATTTTTTATAGACTATAGGCGGTATACCATCGTAGGGTTCAGTACAAGAAGGATGCAAAAGTTTCAAAGCAATGCGAACATCAGATTCATGGAAGTAGACATTATCACAAGTCTGCTGAGGAGAGGTGTAATTCAGCGGACAGCATACATCATAACCATTTGCGAAAACACTAGCAAAATACTTCCCCAAAGCCTCTGCTCTATCAACATCATTGACACATTCTTTACCAAACTCATCAACAACATTGGAAAAGCCTTTGGTCTGCAGTTTGCTTCGTATGTATCCGAAAAATCTCCTAGAATTTGCATAAGAAGACAACCGTCTTTCATAATTGGCCAAAAATTTTTTAAGATGAAAATCAAGATCAAGACAGACTTTTTTGTATAAGGCATTAGTCAAAGGATGCATTGAAGCATTAAACAAATTTTGCTTTTGATCTAGAAGAGCACAGATGTGCTTGGGGTAATGAAAATTTGATGGACTGTTGATGGTTTGCATACATCCAAATTTGCCAAGTCCTTCGTAAACTTTGGTACAGAACCTATAATAGGCGTCGTCAAGGGAGGTATGATTTACAAACAAAGAAGTCCAATCAAAAGTATAGAGATAATCGTTTAATCCAGGATAATCAAATTTAGGAAAGTCAGGGATAGGATATATCGTCTTAGCGGTGTAGCCAGCTTTTACATGAAATTCAATGATGTTGTGATCAGAAGAAGCAAGAGGGGGGAGTATTTTGACTTTGTTTACATTGTTTTTAGTAGAGAAAATCAAATCCAGAATATTGCTACCATGAGTAGGTTCGAGCACATACTGCTTGAACCCACAATCCAGAAA